TTTCCAAATAACAATATATCGTCTACATAAATAGTGATGGTAATAACTTTATCTTCTTTGTGGTAATAGGCACAAGGCTCTGATATGCATCTCTCAAAATGTTTGCTTCGAATAAATCTATCTAAAGTCTTATTTCACATAAGTTCTGATTGGTGAAGCCCATAAATACTCTTATTTAATTTGCAAACCAATCTATAATTTTTAATTTCTTCTTCTCTAGCTAAATGGGAATATTTTTGCTTCAGTACATCATGTACATATTTGTATCCCTTCGGCATTTCCATGAAAACTTCTTCTAATTCTGCACACAAATATGCTGCAGTAATATCTGTGTGATGTATTGAATCAATTTTCTTCAACTGCTATAGCGAATAGCATTCGAATAGAATAGCCTTCTTTTGTACGACAGGCGCGTAAGTTTGTTCAAAATCTATTTTTGGTATCTGTGTGTTACTTAAAGCAACCATCCTCGCTCTGTGGTCTATTTTACCACTTTCATTATATTTCGTCTTGAATACCCATTTTGTTCTAATAATTTTTCTATTACGCGGATTTTCTACTATATTCCATGTATTATTTCGAATTAAATTTTCAAATTTTTCAAGTACCGCTCTTTTTCAGTTTTCTTGTTTTTCTCCCCAAAAAGCATCTTCACTTGTCCTGATCTTGTCACAATTTCGTCATTTTACATTTCCTTTCTTTGTATGGACGTTTTGCTTTGCTTTTGAATATCGTCTACTATATTTCCAACTGATGTTGCGTCCTCTGTAGTTTTATCGCTTTCTGCTTTGATGTCGTCTGGTTCTTCAATGGAAGTTTCTTCTTCGTCCTGGTTAGCTAAATTCTTATTTAAAATAAAAATATTTAGGGTTTCTGTAGCGTCATTTAATATATGTTTATTTACTTCTTTCTTTGTATTTTTGTACGGAAACACATCTTCTTCAAATTTTACGTCTCCACTGATAAAAACCTTTTCAGTTTTAGGGTTCTACAATCTACAACGTTTGACTGAATCATCATAACCCAACAATATGCAACATATAGCTTTTGGACAAAATTTAACATCTCTTGCTTTATTAAGTGTCCAAGCTCCGCATCCAAAAACACGAAAATGATTGAGATTTATTATTTTATTATTCGTCCATCGTTCTATTGGAGTTAACTTTTCGTTAGCAACAGTAGGACTTCTATTGCGAATATAACATGCAGTTTGATTTATTCTTTCCGCTACTCCATTTTGTTGAGGATTTCCAGGAACAGTTAATTGGTGTTTAATCGAATTTTTCTTCAAATAATCAATCAATTCCTTTGGCAAATATTCACCACCATTGTCACTTCGTAAGCAAGCAATTTTACTGCCGTGTAAATTTTCAACCCTATTTTTGTACTTTTCATTACTGTTACTTCGGAATATCTGGAATAATCACCAATGAAGGTAACTACATACTTGTTCTTTCCATTTGATATAGGTGTTATAGGACGAACAACATTTGAATGTATTAATTTTAATGGCTCTACTTCTCTGTTGTAACTTTTATGTGGAAAAGGTGATCTTTTCATTTCAGCTTCATAACAAATTTCACAATTTTTCTGTAAGCCGTCTCTATCATTTACACTTTCTTCTAGGGCGTCTTCTGAGTGTTTAACTTCATTGTTTAATAATAACTTAACGTCTGGTATGTTCAAATGGGCCAATCGTCTGAGCTACAATCTTTCTTTCCTGGTAACCACTTTATTTGAAGATGTATTAGTTTTTACTTGCGTCTTTATACTGTTATCTTCAAAAATATAGTGCGAACGTCCCTATTTTTGTCGATTTTGCTACTAATTGATTTTCTTTTTTCGTAATTTTTATATTTTCTTCTAAAATAACTTTTTCTGCAGCCAACGTCGTCGAAATTAAGTTTGTTTTCAGATTAGGAATATACAAAACATTTTGTAGGGTTATTTCATTTGACCCATTTTCTTTGCTTAATTTTAAATTCATATCACCATAACCAGTTGACAATATTAAACCTCCACCTGCGACTTCAATTTTCATCTCTACCTGTACGAAGTTTAACATTTTTTTTGAAAACTCATATGATCTTTAGCTCCGCTATCTAATATCCAAGTATTTGAGCAAGTTTCTACAGAATAAAGAGAATATCGTACACTACTGAAAGCAAGTTTAGAGGTGCAAGGTTCAGGTTCATTTGATGTATCTATAATCTCCTTTTGTGGTTGTGATAAAGGACAGTTTCTTTCTGTGTCCCATCTCTAGACATCTGTAACATCTTAAATTTTCATGAAAACGTTGCTTCTTCTGATGGTCTTCATGATTTTTTCCATTTTGCTATTTATTTAGTTTGTATTTCCCTTGATTTTTAAAATCTTGTTTATACATAGGATATTTCTTCTTTGAAAACAATGCCTTTGCTACATCTTTTTCATCTTCTTTATCTTGTTTATTTGCCAATCTTCTTTCTTCTTCTACCAGTTTTGATTTCAACTTACTCCTATTTAAATCATCTTCGTCTGACCTTAAATTTCCAACTAGATACTCATATTCGCTTGGCAAACCCAGTATTGCAAACCCAGCTTGAACTTTTTCATGAAATTCATAACCATCATTTTTAACATTATGATATAAACCATTCATGTTAAATATTGATTTATACTTTTGTCTTCCTTTTTACTAGCATTGACGAAATCTTTCAGTAACAATAATCCATACCAAGTGTCGTACTGTGTATGGATGTTCTTTAATGTGTTCCAAATATCTTTCGCTGTTTGACACTCTATTATATCATCTAAACTATCATTATTTATTAGCAAATAAATTATTGATTTGGCACTAGGTTCCAATTTTTTATTTAAGTTTTCGTTTGTATAGCCTGGATCTATGGCGATCCACAAGATTTTTACTTCCAAAATCCCTTGTGCTCTCATGCTCCAATATCTATAGTTCTCAGAATTTTTCAATCTTAAAATCATCCATTTTTACAAGTACTCGGAATACACTCTTTTTCGTCCTATTGTACTAACTGTCGTGCTATTTTTTTTATCCGGAAACCTTCTACCTCGTTGAAAACGTCAATGTCCTAACAGCTCTGGGCCCATAACCTCTCAGAAAACTGCAGAGCCTTTTGGCAAAGTTTGGTTTCCCAGTTTAATATTCAATAAACTAAAACTAAAAAAACTAAATTTGACGTGTTTTATTTTTTAAAAATTAACAACATCAAAAAATACATCGTAAGATACAGTGTCCTACATACAAATAAATAGCTTAACAACTACCCTAACAGTTTTAACAATGATCAGATACCAGATTTATCGTTACTATATGGAGGTGCCATGAGGTAATTATTTTCTATACGATACTTGTTATTAAATATTTGATCGGTGCTATTGACTTAGTAGTATTGCGGTAATATCATAGTATCCTACGAATATCGTACAAAGTTTTATCTACCACCGCCAAATTATTGCTGATGCAGTAATAAAACTCACCCGCTACCGAGTGATCGCTGTAAATATGGAAATGAGTATGTGAAGTCCAGGACGATTTCAAACACGAAGCAAAATATGAGGAAAAACATTGAATTTAGCATGAAGCTTACGACCAGGGGCCTATTTCATAAAACTTATTAGTCTAATACAAACAAAAGCTGGCAGCATACAACAGTATGATCCATAGATTAGTTAATATTCCCCTTACCAAAGAGAACTTCACAAAAGAATTAAATATCATTAAACAAATCGCAGTAAACAATAATTTTAATTCAAAGTTAGTAGACAACATTTTAGAGAAAAAACTTTTTAAACATGCTATTCAACAAGTTTATCCCATAATTAAAGATCAAAATTGCAAATATAAGAGTCTTACATATATAGGAGCTCCTAGTGAAAAGGTATCATCATATTTAAAAAACCAAAATATTAACGTAGCTTTTAAAACCAATAATACGCTTGGGAAGTATATTAAAAACAATAAGGGTAAAGTTAATCCTAATAATAAATCGGGGGTATATAAATTAAATTGTGGTAGTTGTCCAAAACTGTATATTGGTCAAACAGGCCGTACTTTCAAAGAGCGCTATTCCGAACATTATAATAGCTATACAAAAAACAAAAATAATTCTACTTACTCAAATCATATTTTAGCTGAAAATCATTCTTTTACAGACAACTTTGAAATTTTACATATGGAAAATAAGGGCAATAAACTAAACCATTTATAAACACTTGAAATAAATAGATTTAAAAATTCAGATAACCTACTCAATGATCAATTAGATATTAATAACTCACCCTTATTAAATCTCTTTCCTAGTTTTCTGTGAGATAATCCCGGTAATGTTAGTATCTTGTTATCTGATTGATATCATGATTACCTAAGTACCCTTATTTACTTTAAATAGTTAGTTTATTTTGTTATGTTATTGATGTTTTCTTAAGTACTTTGTTTCGTTAAATTATTTCGCATATATATTGGATACCAAATTGTAAATTAGTCACATTTGAAAAAGAAGTTGTACTTCGAAACATGTCATGTGTAGTGTTTTTAATTTTTATTTTTTAAAATAAAAGTTTTGTGAAAATCTACCAAATTTGGTTTTACTCATTCAAGTTAACAAAAGTAGATGTTGAGAGGTATAATAAATGAGAAGAAAATGATATTAACATTGATATGGTAGACGACGGCGAACAATTTATTTTTCAGCGTAGTGGAAAATTTATTTTGTATATATTTTTTGTTCTGTAAAATAATAAATTGGTAGGCATTTAAAAAGTAGGTACTTATTAAACTTTCATCAGTTATAGTAATAAAATAAATAAAAGTGTAACATACGATTTATTATAATACTTTTAAAGATATTAAAATATCATTATTTTCTTTAACACAAATAAACTGCCCTTCGTCACAATCAGTAGAATTTACAATCATTACCTCTGCCTGTTGTGTTTCGCAACCACTGATATAGTTAGAGGATTCAATAGTATACACAAAAACATTAAGTGAGCATTCTTTTTCCCAAACTTCCAGTTCCTACTTCTAAACTTAAGCTGAAGTTTCTTTATTTTAAGAGTTCAAATGTTCTTAGCATCATCTGGTTGCTGAAAGATAACTCTTTTCTTACCTACAAAAATAATATATGTAATTATCTTAATTAGAAACTAGGTTGACTTGTTTTGAAATAATTTTAGTCACTTTATAGTCTTACCTCTACATGAACCTTGTTGAAGCGAGCACTTGCTTTTTGTGGTGACATTATCATCGTTTTTGTTGGGCTTAGAATAACTAAAGTCCTCGGTAATGTTTTTAACTTCGGAAGCAGTTTCCACTGAATCGGGTACGCCAATTCCTTTCCAATTATTTCTATCACTAGTTTATCAGTGTCATCTAATTTTGATTGGGGACCTCCTTGTGCGCCAGTTTTATTTAGTTGGTCAATTTTTGTCTGTAATCAAATAAAAATCTTTTATATGCTCAATAGTTAAATTAGCATTAATCAAACAGGATGCAAAAAATATTTTTAAAATTGTCCAAATAACTGATTTATAGTGTATTTTTTAGTGCTGATTTCAAAAACAAAATTCATTTTTTCGGCCACCTCAGAATATCTTACAAGAATGGTGTATTTTTGGTAAAAAACTAAATTTTACGCTAAAGTTTCTAAGTTTTAATAAGCAGATAAAAGATGGCATGGTTAACGTATTTTACACAACAAAATATTAAAAAAATGCATAACTATAAAGGCCAAAGTCCTTGTAAAATATAACAGCTTCTTTGAAAATATTTGCAAAACTGTATTTAATGGAATATTTTTAAATATTTTCTCATAATCAGCACTAAAAATTTTATAAACATTACTGATTACATTTGAGATAATTTTTTTGTTGCAGACCTGTGTTATAAAAAAAATAAAAATAATAATCAGAAGTTTTACAGTACTAAAAGGTATAATACACCTTAGGCTCTAATGTGATGGATTTTTATTACATTGTTTCCATTATTTAGGCACACCAATGTTGAATAAGGCTTTGTTGAAGCATTATGTATTAAAACCTAATTCTTAAATGTGGCGATATCTCATAGAATGCAATTGAAATACATTTAAAGTAAATAACTGCATTTATGTAGTATTATAAATTATAAAACCGTTACCAATGTTCTGGACCTTAGGCCAAGTTGCGTCGCGTACATAACAAAACTCTTTGTCGCTTCCTATTAGACCTGTTGAAACAGCATAATCATTTACATGTATCCATGCTGTTTTTCGTGACTCTTTGGTAATAGTAGTAGAAAACTGACCAAAAAGTTCATTCTTTAATTCTAATATTTTTCTTAAAAAGTTTTGATTTTTCATTTTCTTTTCTTTCCTTTTTCTTAATTTAGGCATCTTTTATTTCAATAAGAATGTCACTTCACAATTAAAAAATACTACCTTTTGACATATCAACTAAACTTCAATAAGGACACTAGATCTAGTAGGTAGCTGCCATGCTGCTAATATATTAGAAACTATTATGTTACTAATGTGTAAATTAAAATAATCTGTCATCTTATATTATTATTTTATGAGTCTAATATTATTAACTAATAATATAAGTCATTTTTATGAAATAGGCTCCAGTTCAAATAGAAAGGGGAAATACGAGGGACAATATTATGGAATTGAATATGGAATCAACAATAATAAACAATAACCAAGAGATCAATATAGGTAAACATGTACAATAATTATAACATTATATTTTCGATACATGAAATTTTTTTATACAGTTTTTAAAACCCATTAAAAAAAATAATATATTTTCCAGCTTCCTGTAGTAAAACGTTGGATGCATTTTATTGATTCACTCTGCATTTTGCGGCTGACTACGTGCATAGAAGAAAACAAGTTGATTAAAAAACCCAGTAAATGCTAAAAAAGCTACTTCATAAAAGTTCCGTATCAAACTTTTCACGTCATACTGCAACCTCCAGCCCATTTGTTACAAGAAAACTTACAACTCAGTATATTTCGGAACAACTTGTATACCTCTCAAAGTTTTATTTTAGTTGCCTTCAAGCCATACATCTACTTTGAATTCATGATGCGTCTTGAGTTCCAGCTTAAGGAAAGGTTTAACAGAACTACGCAAGGATCCCAAGACATCGCCTGATTAACCGTTTTTTTTGTCTGTTCGGCGATACTTTCCTTTTTTCCGGTAAGTTCGTTAGACACTTCGTTCGGACTAACGTTCCGACGAGGAAATCGAAAACGACAGAACGGTGAAACTAATGACGGGTCTATTCGATTTCAGCTGAATAACAGAGCTTCTGACAGGATCAGTTTAGATCAATTATTGTTTTTATTTTTAATAGTAAAACGAAAATGATATTGATCAAATGTTATATGTATGTACACACTGATAAGTGAACAAATTAAAATATCCTAATCTTATTAATAAAATATTGCCCTAATCGGCTAAAAAAATTATTAAAATTCTTCTTCTAAAATATTTAACATTAATTTCTGACACTGATATAAATTATTGGAAATTGGGGGATTTTAATTAATTTTAAATATTTGTTTTTTGTTAGAGTATTGTTACTAGTCATTACTGACTAACCTACAATTTTAATCTAAAAATCTTATAAATAATTACTTACCTAAGAAGTCCTCATTGTTTCTATAGGAAAGCATCATAAGTTGGCGTAACGATTTATTACACTGTTTTACATTAGCACTAACATTAACGTTCACTGCACTAGCTCAAATGGCTTCTTCCTTTTGAGCCTTCTGTTGAGTGTAGAGTTGTCCAGTAATTGCAGCGCGTCTTCGTTGACGTGGGAGTGGAGTCGACCCTCACGTTTCGCAGCAAACATCTTTATTTCTTGTTCGATTGTTGGCATCTTCAGGTCTCTATGAAGATAATCGTTTCAGTAGAACCAGGGTGCATCAACAATGCATCGTAGGACTTTATTTTGGAAAACTTGTATCATGTTGATATTACTCTGCTGCTGGCCCATCCCCACAGCTGTATGCCATAAATCCAGATTGGTTTTAGGATTTGTTTATAAATCAGGAGTTTGTTGTGCACTGACAATTTGGATTTTATTCCTAGGAGCCAATACATTTTTTGAATCTAAGTTCAAGTTCTTTACGCTTTTTTTTATGTGCTCTTTCCATTTAAGTCTTACATCTAGGTTTATTCCTAGGTATTTGGCCGAATCGTGATGCGAAATAACGTCGCTGTTTATTCTTATTTGTTTTTGTTCATTTGGTCGAAGAGTAAAATCAACATGCACTGATTTAGTTTGATTTATTTTTATTTTCAACTTTTTTGTCCATCGATTGATTCTGTTGCGGGTTTCATGAAGTTTTTCTGAGGTCTCTGTATTAGTTCTGCCAACTGCCATTATTGCAGTGTAATCCGCAAATGTTGCTATTTTAATAGATTGTTGTTGAGGGATATCGCTGTTGTATAATAAGTAAAGTACCGGTCCTAGCACACTGCCTTGAGTGATACCTGCTTTATTTTCTTTTATTTCGTCTTGCTTTACTCTTAATATTCTTTTCATTAGATATGATTCTAGAATGTCGACATATTGTCTAGTTTGCATTTTTTCAAGTTTCTGTATTAGGCCAGCGTGCCAAACGTTGTCAAATGCTTGGGCTACGTCAAGAAATATAGCTGAGCATATATATTTTTCTTCGTAAGCTTTTTCGATGATATCGGCTATCCTGTGTACTTGATCTCTATTGTCGAGTGTTTGTTTCTGAAACCAAATTGGTGCGAAGGGATCAGATTTTTATTTTCAATTATTGGTTGTAGTCGTTTTAGTAGTAGTTTTTCAAATAACTTAGATATTATCAGTAACAATGATATAGGTCTATATGGTGACAATTTATTCAAAGGTTTTCCTGGCTTAGGAATTAGGCCAACTTCGGCCATTTTCCACGCATCAGGTATATATTTAAGGTGAAATGCTGCATTTATGAGGTATGTCAATTTAACAATAGCCTTCCGTGGTAGTTTCTTTAATATTTCTCCAGTAATAAGGTCATATCCTGGTGATTTCTGTGAGTTAATGTTTGTCTGAATTTCTTTCATAACTTCATTGGGAGTAACTAGCTTAATTTCAAGTTGTTCCATATTATGGATGGTCTCATTAGTAGTGTCTTGATTTTCATCTAATTGGAACGTCTTTTGTAGGTGGTCAGCAATATCAGCTTTTTGTTGATTGTCTCTTGCCCATTTGTTATCTGCGCTTCTGATTGGAGGACAGCGTTTACACGAATTTTTTATCTTTTAGTTGCCTTCTAGAGTGAATAATCAGTTTGTTTATCATCTGTTAGCCCTCTAGTTATCTGTTGAAGAATTCTTTTTTGTGATTTAGGATTTTTCTTCTTAGTCTTTGGGTAGCCCTATTTAATATATTTTTATCTTCTGGTGATCTTGTCATCTGCCATTTCTTTCTTAGTTTTCTTTTTTCTGCTACTGGTTCTCTTATCTTGACAGAATAGTTTTTTTAGCTGTTAATCTTCTTTCTTTTGGTGTGTTCTTCCATGCAGCTTGCTGGATTTTAACTATAAACCTTTGCAGTTCTTTATCTATCTAGTTTGGTAAGAATTTCCTCAGAATAAAGAAATCCAAAAGATCTGGAATCTTATTTGGATCAATGGGCCAAAAGGTGGGTTTTTCAGAAGATTGGTATGTACAACCAAGTTCTGATGCAGCTCGGTGCAATTCTTTTCCTTTGACTGTGGTTAATCTTGAACCCCAGTTGGTGTTTTTGGAGTTGTAATGTCCACCGATTATAAATTTTTTACCTAGTTTTCTGAGAACATTGAGATATTTTTATTTTTTTTGGTTGTATCTTGGTGGACAATAGATTGCAGCTATTATAATTTTGTCCCCCTTAATGTTAATGGTGCTAATGGTTACCTGATTTCCTGGTTCTTGGATGCCTGGTTCCTCAGAGTGGGAAATGTTATTTTTAATAATTAACGTACTTCTCTCTCTTGCTGCATTTGATGGATGGATAGTGTGATAGAAGTTATATCCTCCGAATTGAATGTATGACTCTGTTGTAAGGTGGGTCTTAGAAATATATATCTATTTTTTGTACGTCCAAGAAAACTTGGATATCAGTTTGTTTTTGAAGAATACCATTGGCATTCCAAGTGGCTATTCTAATATCTATAACGACGACATTGACTGAATATATTGACAACAACAGATATAGCTGAGTTCAAAAACCCAAGGAGAAAATTTTTAAGTAAAACAACACATTTTATGCTTTAGAAGTAAGTGTATATCACAACTGCTTAATTCCTTTTATTTGAACCTCTCGATATAAACTGTGTAGAACAAATAAGATTTCTTACCATAAACTTACCTTTCATATACCTATGGTAAATTATTTATTTTTTGAAATAGTTAAAAAAATAACAATGGCTATCGTATTTTTTTCAAATAAATAATTTATTTGGCATAGTTTTTTTTTAATATTTGAATTATTGTAACAATGTAATGAAACTGTTTGCAATATATCAGATCTATGTAGTCTCTATAATTCTGGGCATTAGAGAATATAATTCAAACACAAAATATCGTATTTTTAAATTAATTCTCAAACCCGTATGTTTGTTAAATCACTTTCCAAAACCAATCATCATCATAGATCGGCATCGGCTCGTATAATGTTTGTAAATACGAGCTTTTAACTAGGTCAAAATGTCGATAGCTGGAGCGCTATATTCAGGATAACATCATTATTACATTTGAGTTACATTTCCCTAATAACTGCATTAGTCTTATGATTAACAATGTGCGTGTTTACCTATTCAGGTAGTGGCTGATATAAAAGGCACTCTTATGAAGCTATTCATCTGAAGTATTTTTTTTTATTCATTTATTTAATGTCGGCCTATTTTTAGCTACGAGGTTTAGACACCGAAACTGGTGAGCACGCTGCACTCAAATACCAGAAATTTAGTCAAATCATCTGGTATTTCAGCCATCATTAACGAGCCCAACATCTATAGACTCGGGACAGACGGATTTACATCTCCTCCGAAAGATGGCACACTCCACGTTATACCCAATGAACTGGAGTGGGGTAGAATGCTTGTCAATAGGCTTGAGATGCGACTCTATGGGCAAAGACAGGTTATTTTTCATCTCACTCGGGAGTATTTATAACAACCATTTTCTATTTCACTTTGTTATTGTCTGATCCACTAGCCTGTGGATTGAACAATAACAATGTGAAACAGAAAATGGTTATTATAAATACTCCTGAGTGAGATGAGAAATAAAAATGGCTGTGCCCATAGAGTCGCATCTTGTTCTATTGATACAATATGCACATTGGCTTTCTACCCCTATCCAGTTCATTGGTTATACGTCATTGG